TAAAAGGGCATGCTCACTAGGTTTACTTTTCAACTTTAACACGCCCCTGCCTGTCTAACCCCATCCCACTACATTATGAGCAAAAGTTAGTGTAACTAAAAAGGATGGGGACTTGAAAGGTCAGAAGTAAATTCCATACATTAAATTTTTTTTCTTCTTAAAATGTCTACCTTTCATCCTATGTTCTCAATGACTTTACATTCAATGAATGATTCATAACATCCTGTGTTCAGATTGACGCTATATTCCTTTCATCCAATGCTTAGTATGACTTTGTATTCATAAAAGCCTGTGTTCTGTATGACTTTATATTCCTTACATCCTATGTTGAGTATGACTTTGTATTTATATCATCCTTTATTCAATATGACTATCTTCCTTTCATCCTATGTTGAGTACAGTATGATTTTATATTCATAACATCCTGTGTTCAGCATGACTATCTTCCTTACATCCTATGTTGAGTATGACTTTTCATGTATATCATCCTTTATTCAACATGACCATTTTATACATTTTTTATCATCAGGTTGTGTTTATACTACTAGATCTCATAGGGCATCCATCCACACATTTCCAGCGTTATTTTGTCCAATCAGATGCATTTTACACAGAGCTGGTCACCATTGGTAAGTTTGTTGCTGCAAGAAAATTAAATTTTTTAATGGAACAAGTCAGATTTACATATACCGTAATGGTATTGATTATGTTTAAATATTAAGGACCAGCCTTCTGATCCTGGTTATAATTTTATACCCTGAAAACAATGCATTATAATTTTTTTTTTTTTTTAAATGTGAAGAGAAATGTTTGAATGCCAGTGGTCTGCTGTCACGTGGTTCACATCAAATGTTTGAAGACTCAAGGAGACCTTTTAATATATTGGATGACCACATGCCCTTTTACCAGCTAGGTGAGGTTGATTCTTGGTTAAAATTCTATATTTAATGATATGCTCTCTAAACTGCCTGGAATAAGATAATAGGGCTTATATTTATATATGGATCGGTACTTCAGAGCCAAGCAAGAGGTAAAAAAGAATAAAATCGGGGGAGGGGGGGGGGGGAAGAAGATATACACATAAAATTTTGTTCTGAAAAAAAGTTATGATTGAATATTTAAAATGTATCATTGAGCCTTTTCCAAATAATTTTATCACTTGCAATATTTTATATACCGATGCAGATTTAATTCTGTCACCTTTTTAGTCTCATCTAACAACAACTTCCAACTTTGTTATCATCATCCTAAATTAGTTTTTATTAATGATATATATTTTCTTTGTTTTAACCAGGTGTAAGGATTCTTCACCTGATCACATACCCTTACCCTATTACCTGGCATACACTCTTTGACAACTCATACTCTCTGGATGACAATGTCATGAATGACATGATGAAGATATTTACTGTCTTTATAACCAACTTGGCTTTGAAAACCCAACTCAATCAAAGCATAACCATTGCAACCTTTATGCCCTAACATTGAAACCTCTGTGCCCTAACATTTAAAACCTGTGTCCTAACATTTAAAACCTGGGACCTGTGTCCAATTGATGAAACCCTCTTGTCAAGTTGTTAAAAAACCTGAGTGTGTATTGATGTGTTATAATGCATCGTATTGAATGTAATAAAGATTGTTTTGCTTAGAACATGAGTGTCATGGGAAATAAAAATGCAAGGTATGCAATGAACAGTAAGAATGCAGAGTGGCAGAACATGCATAGATTAAGAGAGTGAAACTGTAAGAAGTTTGGGAGTGATGTTTAAATAAGATACTTTATTGATCCAAATTAAATAAATGGAAAAATCATACATATTTTTTTTTCAGTCTTAAAAATCCTTGTTTGAGTTTTTCATTGTTCATTAAAGTTAGTCTGTAGCAAGACTTTAGTCAAATAACTCTACAATATGAATAGCTGTTGAGTTCTTGAGTCTGAGTTGTAATTATGAACGGAGTCTTGGCTTTTTATTTTAATGGAGTTCTCGTTTTGCTTTTCACAAGATCATTGACACTCCTTTTGTCTGTAGCTGATTTATCTTTTGGATAGTTGTTTTGATCTTGCCATTTGTTTACAAGATCAAAACAAAGATTGTGTCATCAAGGCAATTATGTTGCCCATGTTACTTGTTTTACCATCCACATTAAAAAAACTGTAAAGTGCTGTTAGAGGATTACATATGTGATCAATAAAACATAATTGACACATCCTGGCTGTTGTTGCATTATTATCAAATTGCCTGTGCAACACAAACATTTTTTACCCCCACAAAGTCATTTTAAAGTAAAGACTGGAGTTATTCACATTCTGGTCTTGCCCTGAAACGTCCACAGTTGGGCCAAAAATGTCTTGCCCTGAAATGTCCATATAGTGTTAATTTCAAAATATGACAAGTAAGTTCTCTCTACATCAGGAATGGCCGACCTATTTAAATAGTGTGGCCTGCTAGATAATTCACAAATTGACTTTGTTCTTCGATCAAATTGTGCTGTGTTACTTTATTTCATTCTTGTTATATATGCACATTTGAAATTATTGATGAATTATAAAATTATTTTAAACACAGAGTTATATCTCAATTAAATCTATAAAATGTATGTATGTGTGTGTGGCACGTGTAGATGTGTTGAATATCTGAGAATTATGTGCATTAAGAATAAATAAATAATTCATTTATATTGTATTAAATTTATTTATTAGGTTAAATGACATGCTACCCGTAAAGAGATGACTCACTATATAAAAAAAAGAACAGAGAAGCCATATGGGTTGGCCACCTCTGCTCTACATAAACTCATGCCATAAGCCATAAAATAAATGGCATCAATGAAGAAGGAAATAATACTAAAAATAAACTATAATGTCAATAAAAATGCAATAAAAATCTCTGTGAGAACTTTCATAAATGCACATAAGCAGTGATCGGCAAACTCATTAGTCAAAAGAGCAAAAAATCAGACAAAACCCGATATCTGGCTGACTGGCTGAGCCGCACTCAGGTCGCTAAAGTGCATCATGTGACTGGCGAGCCACAATTTGCTGACCACTGACCTAGGATAATGTGAGATTCTAACCTAATAACAACAAGAAGCTGATTTTACTTAGGAACTTTGGGATCTTAGTACTAAGTGCTAGTATTACTAGACCTGGATTCATGCCGCCATGTCAGTAACGAAACCATGATACTTATGAGTATGGTTAATGTAAACCTGAGTGACCAGTATCAGCTGAAAGAAACTATCATTGTAAGAAATTCGAAAATCAGATGGCACCGAAGTTTTGAAATTAGCATAATGGAACCCACATACCACAAGAAGTTTTTTCAATTGTAAAACTTTATTTATTTTCATGGGTCCATTCTTTTAACAGTGTTCCAAGATTTCAAAGAATTTGTACCGTACCGATAATCAATACATTTTGAAGAAGCTCATTTTCATTTGCTTTTGTAGTTTCCTGGAATTTTGACGTGGATAACATTAACATAACATAAATTACACAAGAGTCTAGCTCAGTGCTGTCCAACATTTTTGACTATGTGGGCCAAAATCTTTTTCCCCGCAAAGCCGAGGGCCACACATATCTCAAAAGCATTTGTTGTTTTTTTACTTTTTAGACAAGTGTTTACATTGTCAATACTTCTTAACTTGTGCAGAAAGAGTCTATCCAATAGTTTTATCAGTTCATCAAGAATATAATTAATATAAATAAACCAAATAAAAACTAGCCATTTTTAAGGATATATTTTGCTTTGATTTGTACTTGAATTTGTCTTAATTTGAGGTACCAGTAGTTAACTGATTAACTGTAGCACGTGTCCCATTTAGATTTTCTAAATTTCTACATTTTTTTATTTTTGGACTTGATGTTGATCATTACAGAGAAATCAGCTTCATTGATTTAAGGTGCTTCCAAAAACAAGGTCAAAATTTTGTTACACCATTTCCTTAGTTTTGTAAATTCATCATATTATGAAATATGACATCATACACAATTTATTTTGCCACATATTCTTATGTTTGTTAATAAAAGAAGAATGTTCCTATGGTCTCACACAATTTCTTCCTGACTGAATTGCACTAACTACAAACAAACACAACTTGTATCCTGCTTTTTATTCATTAAACAACTTATACCGAAAGCCAGGTACTTTTCCCCAGCACCACAACAATACAGGATGGACACACACTCTTCAAAACCTGGCTGGACTACCTGTTCAAATAACAAGGTTCTGGTACCATAAATTGTTCACACTGCCCACTTTAGACATTCAGTCGTGAAATCTTCTGTATCCCAGCTCTCATCTCAATTACTCTGACCCAAAGACTTTCCTGTCATATTATTATCATCCCACAAAGCGAAGTCGTTAAGTCGCGGTGCTCACCTATCTATTTCATCTGACTTGGTCTCGTTGGTGGGGGGATGGAAAACACATCCAATTTTTGGGTTCCCTTTTCATCTTTCCCAATGCAGTCAGTAATTATACCCAACGACAAGCAACAGAAAGAAGAAGAAAGTATCAGATTTTATGTCACTCAGGTTCCCAAATGGTTGCTCTGCTGATGTGCGTAACATAAATTACTGCTATGTTGAAGCCATCCCAGTCCTTAGCTTTTCCCACTCCATGTAAGAACTTCTGTGCTCTCACACCATTTTCCAAAACATTATTTCTAATTGTAGATCAATGAATCTGATCTGAACATTTTTTGCACCCTAAAATGTTATATTTTTTTACACATCATAAACATTTCTCAAGCTGTGGCAGGCCATTCGGACAGCACTGTTCTATCTGGATTTTAATGTTTCTGGGGCTGCTATTTCAACCAAAGTTGCCAATGAACATAATTTGTTTCAGAAGAGTATTTTATTCATAATCTGCATGTCATCTATTAATTTGCTATGAACTATTTATAAAGTTAATGAACTAAATAGGAATACAATATGAATGATATTTGAATTGATCTAAACAGTCAGATAATGAAAACAAGATTTACCATAATCAGTCCTTATTTTCATTCCCCTACCCTATAAACATATTCAAGGGAACCATGATTTGTGTTTTGATTTCTGATGACTGAGCAGAGATGCCTTGTAATTGAAACCCTGGCCACAAACATCACAGTTAAACAGTTTTTGGTCTGAATGGATGCGCATGTGAATACGTAAATTAGATTTCTCGGTACACTGCTTCCCACATATATGACAATCATATAACTTACGATCTAGATGAATTTTTATATGGTCTGTCAGATACTCCCGACAGTTGAATGTTTTAGGGCATTTTGGACATGTAAATGTTTCTCCACTTTTGTTAGCGGCATGTCGACGGAGATGAATGTTGAGGACAATTTGACTTTTAAACTTTTTCGGACACATTGAACAGAGGAACTCAGCCCCGGGCTCGGGGTGGCTGCGATGCATGTGTATGGAAAGACGGCACACCATGGCACCACATTTAGGACAAGGCCTGCGCACTTTGTAGAGATGGTGTCTCTCATGTTCCTTGAGTTTATGTTCAGACGGGAAGCGTTTCTCGCACTGGCTGCATTTAAGCAGTTGATGATAATGACATGTGTTATAGTGCACTTGCAGCAGATTGCTGTGCTTGAAATCAACATTACAGAAATGGCAGATACTCTTGTGTACCATCACATGCCGGTGGAATTCACTTTTATCTTGAAATACCTCTGGGCAGTTGGAGCAACGGAATAATCCCCTTCTCAACTTTCCCATGTGCTCTTCACAATGCTTCCTGTATAGGTTTTGGTTAGAGCATGGAAAGTTGCAGAGGCAGCAAATGAAGGGGCTCTCTTGCGTGTGCATTCTCATGATGTGCTCGGGCAGAACGATTCTTGTGACTTTCAGGGAACACACTGGGCATGATACATATTGACGAGATTTGGCACGTTGACCATTATTGCTGCCTTTATCCACCCCTTGGTATCCAAATGGATCAATGGGATCACTCGCATCGCCTTGACCCAAGCCCAGGGAAGTACTGTGAACTTCGAATTCGTGGATGATCATCCAAGCTTGGGATGGAAGAACAGCATCACACATTTTGCATTTGAGATCCAGACTTGGGGTTTCTTTGTGTGCACGCAGTCTCTCCTGGGAGCCAAATGTCTTCTTGCAATAAGTGCAACAATGGGTTTTCTCCTCATTTGCTCGTTTCTCTGTTACTCCTTCAGCCCGCACTTCATTCATGGCGCCAACAGCTGCAGACATGGCATTAAGATTTATGTCAGGACACTCGTTATATCTTTCCAGTTTACTCTTATCAATTGTAGCATTTTTTTTTATTAATGGGAAGGTTTTTTCCCTAACGTTCTTCTTTTTTATACTTTTTTCTCCTTTATTCTTTTCTTTATCTTTGACCATCCTCACCTTCGAATTCTTTTTTTGATTCTGAATTTCAGGAACTACCTTTAACTTTTGTTTCAATCTCGACTCAGTCGCAGAACTTCTTTTACACTGCATCATGAGGTTGGAAGGTTCACCCACGAGGTGATCTTTGCAGTGCTTATAATAGGCGTTGGCAGTTTTTAGAGTATCACTACATACACAGCATTTATAAGATGGTTCGTCAAAATGCGTATTGATATGGTATCGAAAATGTCTGAAGACAATATTATTTGAACAGATCGGACAGGTAACCTTATCTTTTTCACATGGCCACCTTGCATCTTTCTTCAAATCGTACTGCTGGAACTGAGTTTGCAGGAAATCTATATCATGTGCTTCATACTGATGTTTAAATAGGTCTCCCCTGCAGGGATACACCAGTCCACACTGTTCACATCTGGTGCGACATTCAGGGTTTCTTTGATGTTCCCTCTCTTCCTTGGTCCCAGGAAACCATTTCTTGCATAGTTTACAGTGAAAGCCTGCCAAGGGATTATTTTGGAAAGTTAGAGAATACTTATGGAAACCTTCAAGGCAGTTGATATTTTCTGACAAAGATTCTGAATTGTTCTTGCTAAGCTGTTGTCCACCAAGATCATTGGCTTCGCAAGGAATACTGTACTTCGAATCGCGGCAAGAATCGCCTGCTCTGTCATCAAAGACACTCTCTGCTTTCAGAATTGAGGTCTGAGGAGCAACAAGTTCTGTGATGTCATCTTCACTGACCATACTCTCTGCATGGCTTGGTATAGAATCATTTTTGTGATTTCTTTGAAAACTTGTGATGTGCGTAATTGGTACAATATCCTTTTTAGGAATTCTTTCTTCCAGTGATTTCTTGGTTGTTGAAATATAATCGTCAAACACAAACTTAATCTTCAAATTCTTGTAAAACAAACATTTCATTTTCGGTTTTCCATCCAAGTATATTTTTAAATATCCCTTGACCTGAGTAGCTTCCAACGTTTGGTCCTCCTTGTTTAAGTGAAGACAATCCATGGCTACAGACTGGAAACATTCAAAAATGCATCTATGAGACTAGGATTCAGCTGCCTGAGCCCACGGTAGGGAGTCCAGCATAACAGGGGTGATCATCGATAACCATATACAGAACTATATTAAGCATAGTTTGGGACCATTGGTGTTGTCTCTAAAGTAAACCAACTTGATAAAAAGATAGTGATTTTTCTGTGGGTCGTGGTATCTGCTGTTTAGGCAAAGTTAGTCACTGAAAAATAAAAACAATAGATTAAATTCAAGTTTTTATGTAAAATTTAATTCAGGATGATTTCGTATAGGGGTCGTTCAAAGCAGATGCTGATAAAGATCGGATTTGTTCAAAGGTGGACATCTGCGAACAAGGGGGGAGGGGGGTGTAAAGGATCTTGCATATATCAACAAGCAAACATTTTATTTTGTGTACTGCTTGAATCCTCTATGTTCAACATTTTCAAATTGCAGATGTCCTCTAATCTCTTTGGAAAATAATTAATATCTTAGAACATCAAGAAGTTAGTAAAAACCTCACAGGGGAGATAATAATAATAATAATAAAGTGTATTTCAAAAACATGCTTCATCCCCAAAGGCTCGAAGCGCGGTACAAGAGTATAAATTTAAAAAAAAAAAAAAAATCTATAATTTACCACATTTAAAACAAACGCAACACTACAAAAACTAATTACAAGCATACAATGTCAAAGTCTTTCTACCCATTTCATTAGATTGCTCTAAATATCTTGCTGCTGTCTATCAACAAATGTAAACAATGAGATTTTGGGCTTACAAAATTGTTTCTCTTATTCTCAGGTCTTTGACTTTTAAATGAATGATTTATATCACACTTATTTGGAAGTTTAAATCTAGACTAGTGACTCTTTGCTCATTATAATATTAATAATACATAGTGTCATTTCACACTGTATAATGCCAGATGTGGAGTTCCGCAAAAGGGGGGTAGGGGGGATGAAAAAGATGCATATCCTTTATGAACAACCCCATAATAGTCTGCTTGATAGTGAGACAACAGGAACAGAAAACGGAGTACTGAGACACATGATTCAGATGAGAAAATATTGTTAGGCTTACTATTATTATTATTAGTAGTATTTATACTTTGATTTAGATAACTATTTTATTGATAATTTAATGCATTATTTTACCCTATTATATAGTAATGTATAGGGGTCAGCCATAAATGATGTCTTGAATCTAGAGGGGGAGGGGGGTCACATTTGTGAGACAATAAGTGATGAGGGGGGGGAGCTTAAGCAATGAGACGTCATATGAAAAACAAAATATAGTAAAGAATTGCACTTAATGACACTAAATTACAGACATTTTTAACATTATTCTTTAAACTACGATCACTGAAAGAATCAGTACAGGTATGCAAGGTCTAAAAAATGGTCTGCCCAACCTTAGGGCTTGTGAGGTACTTTTACCCATGGTTAAGACCCACTGTCACTGTTCCAGTGAAATGTTTCTAACACAGGTGCAGTAATTTGATATCCATGAGGTGGGAGGTGAATTTCTTAAGGCTTTGTAAAAAGGTCAGTAGTGGTCACAGAGAGTTTTTATAGGGGCGGTGTAAGGGGGGGGTGGTGGTGCAGAGATATGTGATGTTATATTGAGGGGGGGGCTAACTTTTTGTGATGATGGAGTGTAAAAAATTCGCAAAATTTGCGTGACGTCATTTATGGATGGCGCCGTAGGCTCTGTGAAAGTAATAAATTAAAGCAGTCAAAGGTTACTTTAAGAAGAAATACCATAGGCTGGTTTTGAGTTAGCCGTAAGGCCGGCGATGTGTTCCCCGGTATATAGGTCAAGGAGGTCGGTATATACGTCAAGGAGGTTTCCCCCGGTCCATTTCCATCCACAGCGTCGTCTAGAGTGCCATACTAAAAAGATTTCGATGTTTGTATTTACATTATGCAAGTTATTGTTTTCTTATTTTAAATTTTTTGTTAAATTGGGGAGGGGTACTGGGGAGGAGTCTCCCCGCCCCACAAAATTTCTATGTTTCTTATTTTGTTATTTAAAGCGAGGGAAGGGGTTTGGGGAGGGTCTCTCCTCCCCAGTTCCTAGAAGATCATTCCAAATGCAATTTAAGCAGTAGTGTTACTTTTGTTACCTAAGTTTCAACATAGGGATGTTTTCAACTAATCAAAATACAGTAATTTTGGCGGGCGTCTTTTTTTTCACCGGTGTTGGGTCTTTGGGACGTGTTTCTTTGTCCTTTCTTTTGAAACATGTAAGTTGAATTTTAATACAAATTAATAAAAAAGTTCATTTCAATATACCTCATATTAACCGTATCGTTTATGACGCAAGTAATGCTCAATAAAGAACAGGAATGTTATAACACATCGTTCGGGTCCTTCAAAGAAAAAGAATAGATCTTTTCACTCTAAGTTGTTATAACACATCGTTCGGGTCCTTCAAAGAAAAAGAATAGATCTATTCACCCTAAGTCCAGTGTTGGGATTCCCCAATGTGACATCACTACGCTAAGGGTGAGAAAACTCTTGGGCAAAACCCATACTGTTAACTCAAAATTTGCCAATACAAAATGAGGCTTAGGACTTTCGATTATAATTTATAAATATGTTGCTATGACTTTTTTATGATAATTATACTAAAAATTATATTAATCATTATCATGTACTGTGTATCAAAATCAATGTAGTATAGGCTATTACATATACTCTATTCTATAGTTAACTATAGACTATAGTATAGTATGATCCTACTATTTACCTTTGCCTTTATAAAATTATAGTTTAAATACCGTTTTTTTAAAATTATAATTAAATTTGAATATATACCGTTAGTGCCGTTAGACGAATTTCTCATCAGTGTTCCGAAAGTTCCATTTCTCCTCAGTAATAAAGACTAAAGACATTATCATGATTTCAATAATTTTGAACGCAGCTTTTCTTAAAATAGCAGACTACATTTTGTTCTAAAATAATAATATCCAGTTCCCGTACTCAGACATTTGTTTTCAGAGTTATTCCTGAAAACGATTTCCGTTTCCGGTGTCAACACAACTATCTAATTCCGATTTTTTAACGGCGTTTGCCCCGATTTCCGTAGCTGTTTACCCTGCCAAGTTAAGGGATAGTCTGGGGTAAATTAAGTAAATAATAAAAGGTGGAAAAAATAAGGGGTGGGGGTGTACAGGTGATGTATATAATTATCTGAAGGCTCCCAGTATCAGCAAATATTTGGTACACAATATCATTGTCAATATCCATTAAAAAAATAGAATCTCTTTGTTTCATTTTCATTTAAAAAAATGAATTGTTTATTTATGTTTTAGCCACTTGTGTGCAAGTCTGTAATTTTAAGAGGTGGAGATAACGTATCAGATTCTACTGTAATAGGAGATGAGTATTGGAGATCTACATTATATACATTTTGTTTAAAACGGGGGGGGGGGGGGGGGGTTTAATTTTTTCAGCATTTGCATTCTGTCCGCCTCCATGTGTCCAAAGGTATACATGTAGTACCGGTACTTGTTTGTAGATATGTTATGTACAATTTGCCCATGTCATAGTCATAAATGTGTAGAAAAAAACTCATCATCGCTATATTATCATGATAATAGATATCTTAGAATATCTAGAAAAAAAAGAACTTAATAGATTTTCATAAGTGTCTGAAAATAAAACGAATCATCAAAATAGTATCATAGTAATAAATGCCTAGAAACATAAGTCAATTGTTTACACCAACCCCCCAGTTCCTGATACCCTCGCTGAGCAGGCCTTGAAACCACTAAAGTACCCTTTTCAATACCAGACACATAAACATTGATTGCAAATCCCCTCTACATAAATAGGAGCCACAATGATCAATACGTTGCTCGTGGGCCATTTAAAATATAGAAGAACAGATGCACACAGTTTAAGTTTCAGAAGTTAGCACTAAATTTTAGTGCGTTGTTTGCAACATGCTTTGTCGAATGGGTTTGGCTTTCTGTTTGCAATGGTGTTTACTTCGCTATTGACTTATATTTCATTACCGCTTTTTGCCTCTTTGTCTTAGTAGATCACCAGCGATTTATTGAGAAAGAAATCGAAACTGTCACAAACTTTAAGAAAGGAAATTAACAATTTTATTTAATGTTTTAACAAACATTTCCCACATAACCCCACCCTCAAAATTCTAGCCGCGTTAAGTCCGTAATGGATGCACGACCGTGCAAAGGAAAAGCAGCGCCCTGGGCGAATGCGTCCCCTGATATTGAGGTCCCTTGCCAGTACCACCTTTACATGGATCCAGTGGGCTAGAAAGAAATATCAGACAAAGTAGATAATAAAATTTGTTTAAATTTAAATCTAAATATATCCAATTGGGCAACTTTTAAAACTTATCTTTGAAGACAGAGGCGTTCTTGTTTTCCCACAATGGTGTCATAAATGACAAAAGATTCATAAAATGTACTTTTTTTTTATCTTGTACAATTTTGTTAAATGGTTATTGTATACTAACAAAAAGACGCTATTTTAGGCCTTTAGTTCCATTAGGTAAAGAGGGAGTTTTAATTTTATATCACTAGAAATAATTAATCGCGCTTATATTTCCTTGCCTTAATAATAAAATAATGAGGCTAATAACTTATAATACATTATTAGTAATTAGCATCATTATCCAACTGTTCTGCATTGGGACGTTGGATTTGGACATATTTTTTAATATCTAGCTAGTCGCATTTGAAATATATTTTTAGAACCCACAAAACAGCTCTATCCCTTAATAATATATCCCCTCGATGACTTGCTGTAGTTATTAAGTGTCAAAACGATTGCAAAAAAAAATTTTGAAATCAAAGCCTGTAAGTACTGAGTAAAAGTACATCCTTGACATCTTTTTGTCAAATATTAAATTCGAAATCACTTTTCCAAAATCAAGTAGCTCACGTACAAGCTATGTTGTTATAAAAAATAAAAAGAGCAAATATCTGTGTGCAGCTTTAAAAATGATTTGTGCCATAGGAATAATTATTTTATTGTCATACCAGATATTTTTCATTAAATCTTTATTATTTTCTTTTATTCATTTCAGATATAAAATTTGCAGAGATATAGCAACAGCTATGATTTTAGAAATGTCTGCAATGACTATGAAGAAATTAGCCATTAGGATGTTGAGATTGCCATTCAGTATTGCTTCTGATGGTAGTAAAGACTCAGACCAAAAGCAGTACTCTCCAATGGTCACCAGGGTGGTCTTGTAAATTCTCATCTCCTAGCTTTGCCGGTGTACAAAGAGTCCTCGGCCACGGGACAGAATATATTTAAGATCATGGCCCATGAATTGCATTTACAGGGCATTTCATGGGTAAACTGCATTGCATTTGTCTGTGGCAATGCCAATGTGATGACTGGCCAATACAATGGGTAAACTGCATTGCATTTGTCTGGCGCATCTTGCAGCTAAAAAAGGGCCTTCCAGTCTCTGACAAGTTGAGGAGGTCCTGGTTGAATTTGTTACTTCTTCAAGAAAAGTGTGAAGAGACGGGGTGAATTGAAGAACCTGCAAGTCCTGTATGGTGCAGAACAGATGAAAAGTATCAAGCATGCATGCACCAGAGGGCTTAGTATTGCAAGATGCCTAAAAAGATTGTTTGAAAACTGGGACCACTTTATGCACTTTTTTAATGGAGAAAAATATACAAAGTCCAAACCAAATAAGAAACCACATAATGGGCAGACAAATGCCGAGTTGGAAGGACATTGCACAACTTACTCTGTGAAGCAGGTTGATGCCATTTATGACTTTTTGCGGTCTCTAACAAATCAACTTAACTTCCATTTCTTGTCTTATAAACTGAAAGTTTATGATCAGGTGAGATGAATTTTTATATTTCATGAGTCTTGAATGCTGCATAATTTTACTCACATTTCATTGGACCAGCAATATTTTCTTACGATTCATTTTATTTTGTGCAAAGTTGTCTGTACTGGACATTAGTAATTTTGTATTATTTACCTTACTGTTGTACTTTATAGTATTTTTATGACACATTGTTATTTTTACAGGTACTTGTCCAACTGCAGGCAAGTGAAGCCATGATCATCATGCTGAAGGAGATCCGTGCAGCCTAATTGGTGACTTGTACAGCAGATTTCTCTTGCCAACAGCAGTTAATGGTATTGACCAGGTGAGCTTGTGTAGATTGATTATGTTAATGTATGCATTTGTGTTGTAGTTAGTTGGACAAATTTAATACATTTCTTTTGTTTTAAATTTTCATCTAAATGGTTTGTCATAATACCTGTAGTACTAGTTTATAATTTTTATTGTCTTTCAGTTCCAGTGCAAGCTAAGAAGCAGTCAGAAAGGTGATGCTGACCTGATTGTTGGATCTCAGGCAAAGACCATGATGCAAAACAAAGAAAAGTACAGCCCCAGAAACAAGGGGGTTGTTGAGTTCTAGTTCTATGCTTCTGTTGGAAAATATTTTGAGATGGTGCTTGACTACCTACTAAAAAAAACTTCCCTATCGAATCCTGCACTTCAGAATGCTTCTGTAGTTGATCCAAAAAGGAGAATAGAGGTTAAACAACATCAGCTAGAATACTTCCTTACCAGATTCCCCATTCTGATCCCCAGAGGGACTGATGTTGACGCCATCTATGAAGAGTTTGATTGGCGTCAGCAGAGGAACATTGAGGATTGTATTGAGGATGGGGTAAGAGTTGACAGGATTTGGCAAACAATTTGCCAAAAGCACCCAGCCCTTAAGAATCTTGCACATGCATTGAAAGGGATCCTCACCATACCTCACTCCAGTGCTGCGTGCAAGAGAGTATTCTCTATGGTCCTGAATTCATGCACAGACCAGGGAACAACAATGGTCCAAAAACAACAGAGGCCTTGTTAGTCCTCAAGAGAAAATCAGGAAGCTGCTTGGACTTGGATGAAACTTTCAGTGCAAAAGAACTCCAGCAGCTTAAAAGTTCAGCAAGCGTCATCAATACACAAGGTATTTAAATATTTATAAAATGTGTACTCAGTTAAAGAATGTGCCCCTTTTATTGCTACCAAGTTTAATAATTTGTTCAGCATTGTACTATTCTGAGACAGTATTGTACTATTTTGAGATGAAATTTTACAATTTTTTGAATTCCTCGGGAAACAAGTCTGGTGCATGAGTATAATTGAATTATAATGTGAATTAAATGATAATATAATTCGTTACTTTTTTTTGGGAGGGGGTAGGGTGACAAAGATTTTATAAGGCTAACGACCTAGATGAGCCACACAGTGGGATCTGAAGCATCTAGATGAGCCACACAGTGGGATCTGAAGCATCTAATGAGCCACACAGTGGGATCTGAAGCATCTAGATGAGCCACACAGTGGGATCTGAAGCATCTAGATGAGTCACACAGTGGGATCTGAAGCATCTAGATGAGCCAAACAGTGGGCTCTGAAGCATCTAGATGAGCCAAACAGTGGAATCTGAAGCATCTAGTTGAGTCACACAGTGGAATCTGAAGCATCTAGATGAGCCACACAGTGGGAGCTGAAGCATCTAGATGAGCCACACAGTGGGAGCTGAAGCATCTAGATGAGCCACACAGTGGGAGCTGAAGCATCGAGATGAGCCACACAGTGGGAAGCATCTAGATGAGCCACACAATGGGAGCTGAAGCATCTAGATGAGCCACACAGTGGGAGCTGAAGCATCTAGATGAGCCACACAGTGGGAGCTGAAGCATCTAGATGAGTCACACAGTGGGAGCTGAAGCATCTAGATGAGCCACACAGTGGAATCTGAAGCATCGAGATGAGCCACACAGTGGGAGCTGAAGCATCTAGATGAGCCACACAGTGGGATCTGAAGCATCTAGATGAGCCACACAGTGGGAGCTGAAGCATCTAGATGAGCCACACAGTGGGAAGCATCTAGATGAGCCACACAGTGGGAGCTGAAGCATCTAGATGAGCCACACAATGGGAGCTGAAGCATCTAGATGAGCCACACAATGGGA